AGAGAGAGAGAGAGAGAGAGAGAGAGAGAGAGAGAGAGAGAGAGAGAGAGAGAGAGAGCAGGGGCGCAGCGCCATAGCTTGCAATATAGAGAGGGAGTGAGGTTGAGGGTGATCAGGACGTGCGTGGAGAGAGAGGTGAGAGGTTTACATGACTTAGCTGTTGCTCCTTGCGATGATGAGCTGCTGAAGACAGGTGGTGATATGCCCTTCAAAGTTGGTCTGCCTTTGGCAGGGGACTGCCCTAAAGGCAAAAAAAAACACGCGCCGGCAAAGAAACCACGCGCCAACTCGAAATGAGCGAGATTTCAGTCCAAAAGTATCCGTTGGGCTTTTTTTTTTTCTTTTTTTTTTTTTTCCCTTGCCCTCTGACACCATGGCCGACCCCTGCAAATATGACACCCGGTCTGACACCACGGTCGTCGGTACTTCTGTTGCCTTTTCGAACTTGGCTCGGTTTTCTTTGCAGATGCGTGTTTTCTTTGCCCATTCGATACTCAAAGGTGACATAAAGGTACTTACCCCTTATTATTATTTATTATTATTTATTATTACTATTATTATTTATTATTATTTATTATTATTTATTATTATTTATTATTACTATTATTATTTATTATTACTATTATTATTACTATTATTATTACTATTATTTATTATTACTATTATTATTTATTATTATTTATTATTATTATTGAAGCTATCCTCCTCCTCTCCACTTCTTCCTTACCTTCGACTAATTTTTGCGGTACTTGCAGAGAAGGGAGCGCGAGCAGTTGGCTGAATTGGACTTGAGAGAAGTTGACACGCAATTGTGTATATGAAGACAAGATGCATGGATCTTTTTTTTTTTTTCTTTTTTTTTCTTTTTCTGAGGGCTTCTCGCAAGTTGGCTTCAGATACCCCTGCTGGCAGATGGCCTGATTGAACCGAGGCAAACATCAGCAGACCCATGAGACTACATTTTGTGTAAATAAAGACAACATGCTTTCCGACTTGGTAGGCTTCTACCGACTCTTGGGTTCATTACGCCATGATCAAATGCCAATGAAACCCTGTTTTAACCACGCTTAGATGCCCCTGGTGGCAGCTGACCTGATTTAACCAAGATAAATGTCAGCAGACCCGGACATAAGCATCGATCAGATTCGACATTGATCAAACCCCAGCACACCCAACTACTAACCATCAATCACGAACGACGACCATATGATTCAATCCTAGGAAAACCGTATCTTCAAGTTTTAAGTTTTAACCATGGTTAAATGCCCACCGCAGCAACTGGCCTGATTTAACCATGGTACGCAGCAGCACAACAAGCCTGGACAAGGCATATATTGTTCTCCGTTTGCCGCTCTACTTCTTAGTAGTCCCCGTATCAGACCAAGTAGCCTTTCAAGTTTCAATCTTCAACCCACTTTTTTTAAGTTTTTTTGTTTTTTTTTTCCGTTTTCTAACTTTTCTTTTAAATGGATCGGACTTCACGAAGATGCAAGCAAACGGTAACAAATTGGGGGGGGGGGGGGGGGGGGGGGAGTCCAGATGTGAAAGAATTTTTTTTTTTATTTTTTATTTTTTATTTCTTTTGCAAAAGAGAACAATGTTGCAAACGGTGACTTCACTATCTTGTTGACCCTATGGCCAGATCATGTGTCGGTTTGATCGACAAAACGCTCTTCTGAAGAGGACAACGGTAAAAAAAAATCTAAAATGAATGAATCTCTCTCTCTCTCTCTCTCACACACACACACACACACACACACACACGCACACGCACACACACACACACAACACAATGTCTACCAGGTCCCATGCAGCAGCACACTGTCTGCATCTGCCAGCCAAATCCACGTAGATTGACATGCAGCAAATGCATCCATCTTTTTTCTTCTCTTTTCCAGAGATCAGTTATTAGTATTTATTACTACAAAAGAAAACAGAACTCACTTTGTGCAACTAACTACGCTTGTCGACTGGCATTGCGTAGAAAGATACATGGAGGCAGACATGGCTTGTTGAAGCTGGAGTACTGTGATGCAAGTCTCCAAGCATCCATCACACATCAAGCTTTTCCTCCTCTGCGGCTACACATGTCCATGTGACCCCTGCGGACGGAAGAAAACCGTGGTCATCTATGACCGGCCGACGGAAAATGGGCCAGCCTCCTGGTTACCATGGCGGTCTCTGTTTGCTGCATTGTGCTCCGCTGAAGAAGGGGCAGCCTCCCGCGAACCCCGGCCGTCACTGTCGTCGTCTATGACCGGCTGACAGAACAAGGGCCCGCCTCCTGCTAACCCAGGGCAAGTCGCAATGAGCTGCACTACGCTCCGCTGAAAAAGAGGCAACCTCCTAGGAACCGCAGCGGTCTTGACATGCCAAATTACACTCTGCGCTACAACACATACGCTGAAATCACAGAAAACGAATCGAAGCATACGCACTGCATCTACTTCCTCCCCCTTGGAACAGCCACACGTCGTAATGCAACATCAGACCTGTCTTGCCGTTCTGCTGGATTCGCCTTGCATCTAGCCCCTTTTCCAGATCTATTCATCAGACAAAAGTGCACGCTGAACCGTGTGATGGTCGGCCATCACGCAGCTCATCAACCTGAGTGGCCTTCAGTAGTTTTCTGCTTTGCACAGACAGTCTGCCTTTCTTCCCTTCTGTCCTCCTACGAATGGAGACAGCCGAGCAGCTCCTAGACCAACAGTTTTCTCCCCACTAGTTAGTCCATTTGCAACGACAGACTGCCTCTTTTTCCGTCTCTCCTCCTAAGAATCCAGACAGTCGAGTGGCTCTTCAACCTCCGCACTGATCGGTTTACACAGACAGACTGCCTTTTTTCCTCCCTCTGCTCCTAAGAATCGAGACCGTCGAGTGGGTCTTCAACCTTCGCACTGATCGATTTGCACAGACAGACTGCCTTCTTTTTCCTTCTCTCCTCCTAAAAGAATGGAGACAGTCGAGCGGCTCGTCAACCCGAGTAACATTCGCTAGTTTTCTCCGCACTGATCGATCTGCACAGACATACTGCCTTTTCTTCCTTCTCTCCTCCTAAGAGTGAAGACAGCCGAACGGCATGGCGCTACTCTGCTGTGCACGAATACACGGATTGACCAAGATCAAGTTGCCTTGCTAGGTTAACAACACGCCCACATTCGTGCAGCCCTCTCCATCCAGATCAGGAAAGCAGTCTTGAAGGCGACCAATACGCAGATCGAGGAGATGGTTTGTGCCCTGTCCCTCCGTCACCGTTTTCTGGTACCGGAATTCTCCTGTTGGTTGGAGGGCGAAAAGAACCAACAGGAGAAGTCAGCACACTTCCACCCAGAGCATAGGCGTCCTGTTCTCTAGATGAAAACCACCCCTCCTCTCTTCGCTCAAGCTGCTGTTTCCCCGGCGAGGTGGTCCCTAGAAAGCTGACCTCAGCACCAAGCGATTCAGAGGCCATCGATCTCCTGTGCCGGGCTTTCTCCAGCTCCCCACTCCAGCTGGGTTGAAGGTCAAATCTGTCCTTCCCAACGGGGGTGGCGGGCAGTGATGGCATCCTCCTGCGGATCACGTGGGGTTTACCGTCTCCTGCTCGCCCACCCCCACCCTCAATATGCGTTGTTGGCTGTCCTGGCAACGTTGCAGAATGATGCCTCACCAAATTCACCCCATTCTGACTGCCCAAAGGTTGTTGAGGCTGTCCTCCCTTGGCTTGGGGCATCAAAGGGGGTAGCGACGGCGAACCCTCTGGCACGAGTAGCCCCTGACGACGGCGAGAACTGTCGACAGCGCTTTCTATCTCAGCAACGCCATTGTTTCTGCATGCACTCGCCCGCAACTCCTCAGATACGCCGGAGCTTCCGAGATCTCCACCGAGTGACTCACCGTCTGTTTGGCTGCCAACCTCCACAGAGTCTCCATCCGAAAGAGGGGATAACGGTTCTTGTTCTTTGAAGGGCTTGTACGTCATGCGGACACGCAATTTGCCTCGCCGACCCTTCCTGGGATTCTTGACATCAGCAAACAACTCTAGCCAGATATCTTGCTGTTTGAAGGGCTTCAGCTGGAGAAACACACACACACACACACACACACACACGCACACACACACACACACACACACACACACACATCAGACAAGTGGGCCGTTAAGGCAGCTTATGATCAACCACAATCAATGTGGCAAGCCTTGTATGTGGGAGGCACAGTAAAAAAGGTAGCAGCAAGAAGACAAAAAAAGGCAAGGCCGACAGGGGTTAAGCAGTAGTACTACTAGCACATCCTTTCTGCGAAGGGGAAGCAATCAATGCTGCCGTCTTCGGGTCCCTTGACCGTAACGAACGGATGCGTAGAGTGTGTTCTTGTCGTAAGGGACACTGGACCCGGCTTCCAGCTCATACTAAACTCCAGATTTCGGGGGGGGGGAAAAGAAGGCAAGAACAACAAAGAGCTGCATAAGCGTAAAGAAAAGGCAATGGAACGGCAAAGACAGAGTGGCATGATGACATGGCGATATGACGTTTTTTGCATTTCATGATCTTCGCTGTACAAGGTTCTGAGGCCAAACACTTCGTTTCAATTCTGGATCTACTCATCTGGGTGGAAAAGGGGCTGTTATGTAGACAGTTTTGCGTGCAGAAGAAACAGGTCGAGCAGTTTGTTTCAAATTTGTTTCAGCGTTGGATCTACTCATCCGCGTGGAAAAGGGGTTGTTATGGTGATATTTGACAACATACACACATGTGTGTGCCCATATATCTATTCTCTTATATAGATCTTAAAGGAAGGAGCAGTCCTCCCATGACGCTCCCCCGGGCCCAGGAGAAACCCGGAGTGGAGTTCCGCATGCAGTGCCGCGGGCGAACCGGAAGGACACACTCCCCTGCTCACGAAATGTGCCAAGTGGGGGCAAGATGTGCTCCACTGCTCACGACATGTGCAAAGTGGGACTGAATCCTCCCCTCCGCTAGAACATGGAAAGATGCACGGCCTGTGGGTGAACGTCAGGAAGCTTTGGGGAGGCTTGCACCGGCTCCTGCACTCTGGGTGCGGTTGAAAGAGCAGGTAATGGTCCCCACCAACAGTTAACCGCTGAGTTACATCCCTCAGAGAAGGAGGAGCTATTGCAGCAGGTGCTGCTTGCCAAAGCAGTTAGTGCCAGGAGTTTGGGTGCCTGGCACTGCCTGCGGTGGGACGCGGGGGTCGGGAAGGGCCGGGTTTTCCCGTTCAGATTCGCAGCCAAGTTTTCCCATTCAGATTCGCGCCGTGAGCTCGGATTTCGGGTGTCTTTTCGTGCACACCGACTTTTTTCGGCTTTCGCGTGGGGGGCACGCATGTCCGCCAGTGTTCGAATACAAGTGCATAGGGTACGCAGATTCATTTTCAGTGCGCGTTTCAGTTCCGGCTCTCTTTTGATTGTGCGATCTGGAATAGCTCAGCCATGGTCCAACCTGGCAGAATTATACATGCTGTTGGAGGGATGAGGAGAAGTGATACATGCTCAGTTGAGTGATGTATATGGAGCCAAGGATCTGCAAAGTGATGAAAAGGACTCCAATGGACAATGCAGTGTCAGCAAAGCATCAACAAGCAATGCACATCCAGAAACATATGAAAATAGCACAATGTAGCGCAGCGGAAGACTCAAAGATATGACCTGACCTGTCAGATACTGACGCGACACCCCATCATACACCACACCTGTGAGAGAGGGAGGAGGGACCACACACATGGAAGAAAGGTCCCTCCTTGAACAAGCACATGTGGGAGATACCACGGATGAGAAGATGGGGGAGAGGTGAGACGAAGATGGTGAGGAGGGAGAAGACCAAGATTGCGATAGTGAAGTCCGAACATAGTCTCCCAGCCGAATGTCCAATCAATGTCTGCCTCAAAATGTCGAATCAGAGCCTGGGCTCCATGCCCAATGTACCTCTGTCTGTAATCTCCTCTCTGAAGAAGAAGAAGAAGAAGAAGAAGAAGAAGAAGAAGAAGAAGAAGAAGAAGAAGAAGAAGAAGAAGAGGGAAGGAGGAAGGAGGAGAGATTGAGGGCGAGAGCAAGCAGAAGAAGATGTCGTCCTCCTCGCTATCTCAACTGCAGGTAACTGCTGCCTGGTACTAACTGTCGCCACGTGTCTCCTCTGTGCTGCAGGGCGCTGGCGCGAAGACCAGCTATGGCGCCCAGGTAAGATCTCCGTCGACGCAGGTATGGCCACTGCCTCACTGCCTACCTACACCGCTACCTCTAGCGTAGTGCTGTTGCGCTGCTCCAGCAGCGTGTTGCCCAAGAAGTGAGCTACTCGAACTGTGTCTGCCCAGGCGTGGCCCAGCTAAAAGTAGTGCTGGGCGTCGCGGGTGTGCCTCCGTGTGCCTCTGGTCCTAGGCCAAAACGTGGCCTGCCTGGGTCCCTACCGGATGTCCAGACCCTCCCTGCTGCAGATCTGGACAACAACGGACCTGGCCTGAAAAGGGCCTGCCTGGGACTGTACAAGGCCCAAAATGCGGCCTTTGTCCGAACAGACCAAGAGTCTGTTTGGACGAACTGCAAGTCCGAAACGATGCCCGAACAGACAAAAAATTGACAGCAAAAATAAATAAATAAATAAATAAATAAATAAATGCTGCCTTAAATTGAATCCTGCAGCCCTAAGGCCGGCCGTGGGCCTCTAGGGCGCATGTCCAAAGGGCGTGCGGCCTGGGGCCCCCCAGCAACCGCCGGGCCCCGGAAACAAGGCCCGTGTGCAGGCTCAGCAAGTACAAGAAGTGAGGAGGAAGCGGAAGGGTTACGAGGACGATCTGAAAGAAAAGAGTGACGAACATGTGAAACCGGAGAATGGAGGAGGACGACGACGAGGAACGAAGACGGGTGAAGAGGATGGAGGACAACAAACAGGTCTCTCTCTCTTCCCTCCCCCCCTTGACGTCCCCCCTGGTCTGTCTTTTGGTGACATTAGCTCAGCTTGCGGAGAGGATGCAGGAAGGGCAGCAAACAGAACGGAGAACGAGACGAGAACGAGACAGGAGAAATCGGAGGGCGGCGACAACAAACTGGAAACAAAAGATATGTTGACCACTTAACAAGGAGGGAAGATGGCGCAGGAGAAGAAGGGACGACGAGGAGGGAGGAGGAGGACGGAGAGGAATAGGGACCAGGGGCAGCGAGACGGTGCACAGTGGGCAATGAAGGACGAAACAGCAGGACAGACGGGGAGGGACAACTACGGCAACGACATACACACAACAACACACACAAACACACACACACACACAAAACAATCAATCTACATGCACCAAAATAGAGGATGACAGTCTATTACAACAAGAACACAAGTGAAAGGGTGCAGGAGGACAGTTGAAACGCTTACCAACCAACCAATCAATCAATCAGCAACATGCATTGGCTGGAGTTGGGGCAGTGAGAGATGCAAAATTGTGAATACACGAAGGAGTTGTGGTTGGGAGGATGACTGGACATGCTCTCACGAAATCATCAGTCAGTCAATCACTTGCTCTCTCTCTCTCTCTCTCTCTCTCTCTCTCTCTCACACACACACACACACACACACACACACACACACACACACACACACACANAGGTCGCTGAAACTCCAGGATAATGTAACTAGCAAAAAAGACTTGAAAAAAGTTGAAATAAACAAAAGAAAAGGTGTACCATAAAAGACTGTGACAGTGTAAGTGACCTGTCTCTTATACACATCTAGATGTGTATAAGAGACAGCACACACACACACACACACACACACACACATACCATGCTTGCTTCGCTGCCTGAATGAAATTGAACACAACATTGCATCAGAGATAAGAGGGCTCTCTAATAGTATGCTTGCCTGGCTCCGTGAATGAAATAAACACAAGATTGGATGAAAGATAAGAGGGGAAAATCTTTTCAGTCCGCCGACCCGTCTCCTCGCGATCAATCAATAGATGAAAAATAAAGAAATCAACATGCCGCTGCAATACCGTGTGTGAGCTTGGCTGGCTGCCCACCAAGGACGTCCAACAGTTAATCAATCAATCAATCAATCAATTCATAAACCGGTCAATCAATCCAAGCGATCCATCCATCCATGCATCCGCCTGTTATGGGCGAGGTCACCGGTTGAACTCCATCTCGGACCGTCTGGCTGCGGGTCGATGGGCTATAAACCCTAAACCCTAAACCTCTGAAAAATGGCAAATCAACAAAAGTCACAATGCCTCACATGTAAAAATGTATTTGCCATGCACTGTGGTCTGTATGAGCATGAATGAGTTAACCGGCCCACAAGCGATTAACAGGGACCCCCACTTTTCAGCCCCAGTTAACCCCCCACTTTTGCCTTGGGGTTTAAGCCTTAAGGCCCTTTTGATCCATTATTCTGTGCTTAAAGAAGAGTTGACCATCGTTCTCTTAAACCACCAGTACTTAGCAGCTATCAGCCGCGGAGAAAAATAGAGTAGAAACGTTTCTAGTTGGCTGAATTTGGGCGCTCCTGTAGTGGCACGTATGTTTCCTAAAATCGCGTAGCGTTAACGGGCGCGACTTTAGGAAGTACTGGTGGTTTAAGATAAGAAAGGCCTCCTTATCTATCGGTAGCGGTATGCTTGGACGCTGGTTGACCTGATAAAGAAAGCGACCTCTGTGCAGCCCATCTCTGTTCGGCCTAGGCTCGCCATCTACGTGCTTACCCGCCGGCGAACACCATCTTTCTTATTATGTATGGTGTGCGTTAATTGAAGTTTTTTTTTGCTGTTGGTTTATTTGGTGTCCACTCTATGGAGTGGTGACAACACTGACGAGCCCGGCTTAAAAGGTGTGGGACGTTTGTTATTATGACCCTGAAAAAACCCTGAAAATTTAGGGCTCTGTTAACCGCTTCTCTTTTTTTCCCTTTTGAAGCAAGGTTTTGCACATCATGGGGGGAGAAGGCAACGTTGAGTACGGTAACACTGTAGCAGGAGATGTGCTTGATGCTGACGTTGTGAAATGCTTTGAAGTTTGATCGAATCAACGCTTCTTTTTTTGTTTTGTTTTGTTTTTCCTTCGACTGTGAATCCCGACCACAGGCCGGAACTGAAGCGCATACCGGAATGCCTAAAACATTGTTGTCCGTCCTTCGGACTCCTTCCCCTTTTTATCGTATTCACTGAAACCGGTTGTCTTTGGTTTTCTATTTTGAAGTCGTACAGCTCCTCCTAAGTCACGCTTCTTGTCTCTTGAAAAAGCATTAGATGATTAGAGTCATTAGACACATGTTTTGTGATAAGGAATCAGGTTAAGGCCTGATTAAAAGCAGACATTACGACTGGGTTTGCCAAAACCGCCCTATGACTACCGATGACGAGAAAATCTAAGGAGGGGAAGACTCGGCAGAGTAGATAGCACTACAGTAGTTACCTCAGTGAGCGGGAAGACGGCTGCCCCCAAAAAGTCAGCCTTCCCGAGCACCTCCGAATCCATCACCACGAAATTCACAGCTTGGAAGTTTGGATCCTCGACCTGATTAATGGACAACACAACACCCCCCACCCCCCACCCCCACAAAAAAAAAAGGCCAAACCAAACAAGCTGCAGCCTTGCCATCAACATACATAACTCAGGCTCGAAAGCCACATTGCTAAATAATGGAAGTCCTGAAAGTCAAAGCCAAACTGGTGCATGATGAAACAAAAAGAGACAGAGCGAAGCCGTAAAACACACCAAGGCGTGAGCTTGAGCGCATCCACACACGTAGTCTTGATCGGGATTGTCCATGTTACAATCCTGGCTATCTTGCAATACAGTTATGCAACAACTTGAAGGAAGATGACGCTGTTCAATTGCAACGGAAATGAACGAACTTGGAAAAAGAAATTGACAAAGGAAGAAGAAGAAATAGGAATGAAAGATGAAGAAATCAGGGCAAAGACGAACGGGTAAAACCAAGTAAACCAGTTCTCTGGAGGACCAGCAGCATGACACAATGAGAAATCATCCCAATGTTTCTGCTGAAAGCCAAACACCATTACAAAAATTACGCATTCCCCTCGACGCATTTCGACCTGCGTGTAATACAGGTCTCTTCAGGACTCAGGAGGTCAATAGCACCGCCGAATGCCCAGTGAAAAGGCAAGCCCTTCCACCTACTTTATATCTCCAGACTGAGTCATCATGTATCGCTATCCTTCCCTCTTCTTTCCTATATTCCTTTCTACCTTCCTCTCCCGCTCACTCCCTTTATGACAGCCATAATCCCACAACACCTGATCGAGTAGCGCTCTTCTCGTCTTCCTGCATCGGCGAGACAGTGAGTACAACAAGTGGAGGAGCACGGGTCTCCCCCTCGACATAGCAAAAACGGAGGTACGGGTATGAGGGCGTATCCTCATGGGTATGGCATGAGCACAAAAAAGGTCGACGAATCCCGCCTACCAACAAGTTTACCTACGATGTCGGCTGCTAACAGCGGGTGGTACCCGCAGTGCCCCAAAACACAGGCAGGACCAGTTGTGCCTCAAATCCGGGCCCAATTTTTTTTCTCTGCAGTCCTGTCAGCATCTAGATTGTTCCAGAAGTTAGGGTACCAATGGTGCCCCAAGACCCAGATCCACAGCGGTTAAGTAATCTGCCTTCCGACGAGATTGGGCAAATTTTTTTTATCAAATTAGATGCAACACGGGGCCTAATTCCAGCAAAAAAACTGCCTCGTGCGCTGCAACAATCAGATCAAGGAAGGGACAAGCAATTGAAATAAGATAAAATAAAAAAATAAAATAAATAAAAAGTAACTAAAAATGAGCGATAGCGAAATGACAGAAATCCAGAGTGCAAAATCACATTGAAAGCCAGCAAGTCCAACGCTGTTCAGAAAGCAGAAATGCATCGATGTCCCACCAACAGAGAACCAAAGCACTGAATCCGAATGTCAATGAGATCATACTCTCGTCATCACCAACATATGTATCCAGAACCCTTCCTCCTACTTGGCGCTCAGCGCCCAGCCTACGATCAGTCACACCTACTAACAGTCTACAAATTGACAATACATCCTCTCGTCAGCAGCAACATCCGAAGTACGAAAGATGTCGACCTTGTAGACCATCGCCAAGACCAGGTACGTGCCCTCACATCACAACCTCATCTCTCTCTCTCTCTCTCTCTCTCTCACCCTTGACTTTTACTACCCATGTCTTCCCTCTCATGCACGAAGACCACCACCACCTCCACTGGCTATGCCCAAGCCAAGCCCGGCTATGGCGCTGCCCTCAGCAGCACACTTCACCCTGCACGTCCACACGCACGCAGCACCAGCGCTAGCACAACAAGCAGCCCACTAGCGATCGCTCCAGCAGCGCTGCCGCCTGCAATTGCAAGTGCCCGAATGTCTTGACTGGAGCCCAGCCCTTTCCTATATGGAAAGTCGCAGGCGCTTTCCCGCTTGCTTCCCACGCAAGACCGAGTTTCCAGTAGCTTCAGTCTCGGCCAAAGTGTCTCGCCCAGGCCCATTCAGAGAGTGGCTTAGGACCAAATTGGTTAGACATGCCCAATCACCCAGGCACAAACGTGCGGTGCTCCCTGCTTCGACCACGTTGCTGGGCAAGCCTGGAAGGCTCACAAATATTTTTGATTCTCACGAGCCAGGCGGATGTAACCAACCGGCGCGTGGCAACTGTCTGGCGCCGACCAAGATTTGCAAAAATTGACGAGTTCAGGGCGCATTGAGATTCCGAAGCCGCGGCTTCACTTAAGGGCGGGCACATGCCCGCTGCAAGGCCCTATGCCGAGGCATAAACCCTCGAAAAAACACCAAATCAACCATTGGGACCTCTTTTTTTACCCTGGCACGGGTTTTTCCTTGAGATCACCACAGTGCTAGCTGATTCCATAGTCTGAGGCTAAATATGCTTACGGTGGGGGTAGACCTCTGAGATCCAAGGCCCCATTCTATTCTGGGGGCCCAGCAGTCCAGTTGCTTATCACCGGCAAGCACGTTTGTACATCCAGCGAAGGGGAGAGATCAGACCAGAGAAGGGTAACAGCCTAACCCTCAAGGGGGAGCTGCATCAGGGGGACCCAACCCCCCAAACCATGGCCTTTCTCCGGGGTCCACCCCGCTGGTCGGGAGGCTTACTAGCAGCACCCAGACACGCAGCGAGGATGGCCCTCGGGAAGACTGGGCATTGGGAGGTGCCTCCCCTGCCGTTCATCAGACCGCCTACTCAGACCTACGATTCAACTTCAACCTTGATCCTGATCTCACCCTGTCCATCTTGTCCTGTTTTAGCCCGCTTGAACAGTGCTCTACTTAAAAGTTAAAATTCCATTTTCTTTTCTTCCCCTTTTTCTTTCTAAAAAGTCCAGGTTGTTGTAGAGGCCAAATACTAGGCATATGACGGTCACATTTCCACAGTCGGCCATATGGAGCCACCTTACACTACTACCTCCCTCCTACCTCACGACAATTCTCCCGACGCACCCCCTACTCTCTAATCATGCCAACCACCCAACCATGGTAGCGGGCCTGGTGGGGTGAGAGCATGGGTTGTAGGCACCAGGGCTAGGTTGAGACCCTACCCATGGTGGAAGCACAGTCATGCACGCCTCGATGCTAGGCGTAACGACTATACTGCAGGGCCGCCCCCCTGGGCAGACCATAGTTCTAGGCACCAGGGCTAGGTTGAGACCCCACCCAGCCCATGGTGGAAACACACTTGTGCGAGCCTCGTCATATGAGTACTTCGGGGATGCTAGGCGTAACGATTATACTACAGCCCCCCCCAGGCAGACCAAATGTATCCCCATTCCAGCCCCAGGTGAACGCCCTCGGCCTCGAAAGGTACTACTTTTTGTCCTCTACTGCCTACCTACGTGCTACTTGAGTGTTTTCCATCTTATGCGGGCCTAGCTTACGTCTAAGTTCCCGCTGCACCCTCACAAAAGCACGGCCACAGGTAAGTACCAGGCCCGAGGGCCTTCTGAGCACACAAGTACCGTGGCAGGGCACACACACACCCAAGCAATGATGCAGTCAGACAAACACACGGTAACTCAGCAACCATGCACACACACGTACATAGAAATCTCCGCAAGTCACTCAGTCCAGCGGGAAAACGCAGAGTTCCTAGTCTGTAATTTTGCAGGTCATTACAGTCCATCTGTTAGACATTGAGAGACTGACAGGTGGAGGAGAGGGAGAAGGAGGAGGGGGGAAAGGAGCACGACGGAGGAGGATGAGAAAGCAACGGAAATTTGTGAGAGGGACAGGGGGAGGAGTTGGAGGAGGAAAGAAGGGACATTTGAGAGATGGACAGGGGGAGGAGGAGGAGAAGCAAGGAGGGAAGTCTGTGGGATGGACAGGGGGAGGAGGAGGAAGAGGAGGAAGGAAGGAAAGAAG